TTGATTGGTGCAACATTTTATACATAATATATATTTTATCATTGTTCTTAATAGACTGTCTCAGTTGCTGGACTTGCTGTCAACCTAATTGGAATCTTTGCATTTCGACATGCCCATACACATGCACATGGGAAGGGTGGCTGTAGCCATGGTAACAGTCAAAGTCATGGACACTCTCATAATCACAATCACCATGGACATAGCCATAGTAAACAGCATGGACATGGACATGAACATGAACCTGAGCCACCTAGACAAAACAGAAATATGGAAGGTTAGTGTTTTGAATGTTAAATTATAACCCAGACCTTGGAACTATAGTTTCTTATGTGTGTATGGGAGATTACCCACCCACTTGTTTTGTGCAGATTTCATCTAAACCTTCAGATGAATACTACTACCACTTGTACCCGTGCATAGATGCCTTGGTGTAATCCACACACATGTAATTACATTTACATAAATTTGGCAATTTTCTAACATCTTGTTGGTTCCTGTTCAGTTGTAGTTTGGAAACTTGGACTTATAGATTAACATTGATGTGCGTGTGCGTCTATGCATCTGTATCCAGCATTATCTTGCACATGCTTGGGCCCATCAAGTTCAAACCACACACATACATCAGACGTTATATCGGACATATGCTCATTCATTTTTATGATACGATTCAAGATTGCAAAATAGCAGCCATTTATATTTTTCTGATTGGGTGGTGGCGACTAGTAGCCATTTTGTATTAAAGAACACTGTCCATACTAATCCACATTTCTGACATGGCTGAACTGATCAATTTTAAACTTCACACATCCATCAGGTTCTATAATAGAAACAATGACTATATCATTGACATTGACTTGTTAAATTCAATTTGGTGCATAGATGGTCTAAATTTAATCACATACCACAAACCAGAAATGTATACAATAAAATGTATACAATAAAAAGGAGTTTTCTGTTAGCATTATATGTAGTGATATACCCAACCAATGCTATGATCTCTTCACCCTTACACATACAGGGCAAGCCATGTTTAGTTTAACTATGTTTTGTTTTACTTAACAGGAGTATTTTTACATGTGTTAGCAGACACGCTTGGTAGCGTAGGGGTGATAGTATCATCTTTACTTATTGACCAGTATGGACTACTTGTAGCAGATCCAGTGTGCTCTATATTTATTGCTAGTCTCATATTTATCAGTGTCTTGCCGTTACTCAAGGAGTCATCTCTCGTGCTGCTTCAGAGAACACCACACCATTTAGAAAATAAGTTGGCAGAAGGTCTTGATAAGGTAAGTCATGCAAAACTGTCTAATTCTGTCTTCATTCTCATCCATTGTGATATTCAGCTAGTTTAGTGCAGAAAGCACATGATAAAGCCTGGTTGATAAAAAATAAAAATATACTGGGTTGAAACAAATACAAATTTATCTGAATGCTACAAATCAAAATATGCCTGGCTGATATAAATGAAATTATGTCTGCTTGAAACATATGAAAATATGCCTGGTTGTTGTTGTTGTTGTTGTTGTTGTTTTATTTCCATATTATACAAAGTGAAAAAAGTTACAGTAAAAATAACAAATAAATAGATAAATGAACAAAAGTCTAAGTAAATACGTATAATATGGCTAAGAAGTAGAAATAACTATAGCGAAGCTAGTCGAGCCTGCTACCCAGAGTTTGACTCGTAAGTAATCTGAAATGAATGAAATATGAGCGTGACAAAAGGGGCATATTGTTCTCATAAGGGTTGTCCAAGGTATAAATAAAAAACAACAAAAAATAGATAAATGATAACATAAATATTATATACACAAATAAATAGTAACTATGTAATAACTAACTAAATAAATATAAGAAAAAAAAGCATATAGCGAAATTATTTGGCATAGGGCACCAGTAAACAAACCCTGCCAAACCATACCTCGTTATCACAGTACATCTGGTTGATAAACTTCTACTGTATGTGCATATTTGAAGTTGCATCTCAATCAGTTACCAGTTTTCATTTCTCTTTTTCTAGGTTTTAGCACTAGAGGGTGTCTTGTCCT